CCTCCTTTGTCAAAGATAAGGTGACCATAGGTTCGTGGATTTATCTCTGGGCTTTCTATTCTGTTCCATTGATCTATATTTCTGTCTTTGTGCCAGTACCATACTGTCTTGATGACTGTGGCTTTGTAGTATAGTCTGAAGTCAGGCAGATTGATTCCTCCAGTTCCATTCTTCTTTCTCAGGATTACTTGGGCTATTCGAGGTTTTTTGTATTTCCATACAAATTGTGAAATTATTCGTTCTAGTTCTGTGAAAAATACCGTTGGTAGTTTGATAGGGATTGCATTGAATCTGTAGATTGCTTTGGGTAGTATAGCCATTTTGACAATATTGATTTTTCCAATCCATGAACACGGTATATTTCTCCATCTGTTTGTGTCCTCTTTGATTTCTTTCATCAGTGTTTTATAGTTTTCTATGTATAGGTCTTTTGTTTCTTTAGGTAGATATACTCCTAAGTATTTTATTCTTTTTGTTGCAATGGTGAATGGTATCGTTTCCTTAATTTCTCTTTCTGTTTTCTCATTGTTAGTGTATAGGAATGCAAGAGATTTCTGTGTGTTAATTTTATATCCTGCAACTTTACTGTATTCGTTGATTATCTCTAGTAATTTTCTGGTAGAGTCTTTAGGATTTTCTATGTAGAGGATCATGTCATCTGCAAACAGCGAGAGTTTCACTTCTTCTTTTCCTATCTGGATTCCTTTTACTTCTTTTTCTGCTCTGATTGCTGTGGCCAAAACTTCCAAAACTATGTTGAATAGTAGTGGTGAGAGTGGGCACCCTTGTCTTGTTCCTGATTTCAGGGGAAATGCTTTCAGTTTTTCACCATTGAGGGTGAAGCATCATCCTTTAAATGGTAAAAGAGCTGTGATTTTGGATTCCAAGAAAAGACTTAAAATCCTAGCATGTTACTAGCCCAGCACTACACAGTTCATAATATAAATGCTATTTAGTGTTTTTTCCATTTTGAGAGTCAACTTATGATCACATTTACAGATAGACAAAATAAGAGAGTTAGAGTAGAGATGACAAATGATAGGATGTTGAAGAGGTTTACCGAAGTACAGAAAAGGAAAGGAAAATTCTTATGTCCCTTGGTTCAAGTACTCTACCAATTTACCAGGTCTAGGACCTAAGCCAAAATACTTACATCTTTTCTACACAATGAGGAAACAGTATTGGCTTTCTAAGGCCACCTTAAAGATTAAATGAGATGAGATAATGGAAATACAGCACCTGAGACAATGCCTGGTACTCACTAAGGACTCTTTAAATGGTGGTTACCATATTTAACTGCATTTTACAAGGAAGATTTTTATTGCTATAACACCATTTTTAAATTTGGGGACTCCTAAAATCACAGGACTTACCAAAATCAAATGCCAGAGCATATATATTTAATATAATGTACATACCTATTCACACATTTTTAAACCTTCAATTAATGATTTCTCCACTCAGCTGAAGATCCCAACTACCCGTTTAACATCTCAACTTGGATGTCAAACAACCTTCTCAAACCTAACTTTTTACCTCCTTCACATGACTTGTTTTCTCAGTCTTCCCCATTTCAGTAAATACCACCCTCTATTAGAGTTTAAGCAATGCAGTGACCCCCAATTCCTCTCTCTCAACCCTCATACTCAATGCTGTTGACTCCACCACTAAATCACACCCCAATCTCTCACTTCTCAAGTACTGCCACTGTTACCAAACCAGCCTGAGCCACCAACTCTCCGATTCTTTTGCTGCTTTAACTGTCCATTCCTCACAAAGATGGCAACCCACTCCAGTACTCTTGCCTAGAAAATTCCATGAACTGAGGAGCCTGGTAGGCTACAGTTCATGGGGTCACAAAGAGTCGGACATGACTGAGCGACTTCGATCATTTCACTCACCTCACAAAGCAGCCAACCCTCTAAGTAAAAACCCTCCAATGATTTAGAATAAAATCCTATACAGCTCTTTCTACCTGCCTCCCCAGTTTCACCTCTTTGAACACCTCAACTCACATGGAAACTCTAGCCACACTGGCCTACTTTATGTTCCTCAGCAGAACTAAGTTCTCTGCATCTGTGGTTTCCTCTGCCCAAAGGCATTCTTCACTCCTGTATTTCTTTCCTAAATGTACTCAAATTTCACCTCACTTCCTTTACATCCCAAACAGTCTCATCTTCGCCTCATTCTTTCACAGCAGTTGATTCATAAGCCTTGTTACATGGAACTAATCTGTATACCCATCTGCCTTCCTCTTTCTAACAGGATCTCCATGACAGCAGCAATCTCATTCCCCTGCTTTAAATCACTCCGTCAGTGAGGTCTTCAGCGACAATTTAAAACTCACACACCTGCATCCTACCCAATGCTTCTATTCCCTTCACTGCTTTTCTCCAAAGCATTTATCATCATCTAACACAGAAGAGACTCCAGTTATTTATCTTGTTTATTCCTCTCCCCCCTCGAGAATCCAAGCACACAAAGGCAAGGACTTCTGTCGTTTTTTCACTCTTGTATCCTAGTGCCAAGAAGAACGTCTGTACATCATAGGTCCTCATGTAGTAATGTTAGTCGCTCGGTCGTGTCCGACTCTTTGTGACCCCATGAACTATATACATAGCCCACCACGCTCCTCTGGCCATGGGTGTTCAGGCAAGAATAACAGAATGGGCTGCCATCCCCTTCTGAATCTCAAGTGCCCAGGAGAGTGTCTGCACACTGTAGGTCTTTAATTAACGCCCAAATGAAGCTGAGTGAGTAAGTCTTTCTAGTCTTGTTCATAGGTGGGTCCTCAAGATCTGGAATAATACTTAGCATTAAGTATATGCACTCAGATTCACTGAAGCAATGACTGTTATTAAAGACACTCAAATTGTGAAGTACTAACAAATCTGAAGCAAAACTTTATTCTGTTCAGCATAATTTGAAATTTAAGTATATTTCTATTTGTGTGTATATTCAAAAAACTAATACACTTTTTTTCAAAATATTTCAATAGTCATTGTACCTTCAGTAAAAAATGATGACTTCGCTTGGTAACTCAGTATATAAATTTCAAAGAAACTAATTAGAATGCCTTCTCCCGAACCATGTCAGAAAAGGTCTTATATTATAGAATTCAGTAGAAAGGAGAGGAATAAGGATTCGGGCAGGAGAGATCCAAGCTGATGAATTCATGTCCTTGAGAAGACAAGAGGGCATGGATACACACGCCTTCAATACCCATGTGGAGGTAGAAGAGAGAAAGGTGACTTGTTCACTGTGACAGAAAAGGCAGGGTGACAGGGGCACACAAGGAAGTCTGTGGGTGAGGTTATGGGAGTTCTCCTCCCATCTCTAGAACTGTCTCAGGCGGCAGTATCTGCCGAGGAGCATGGAGACAATGTGTAGTAAAGACACAAGAACTTGAGTCAGGTCCCTGATGGAGTCTAACTCTGAAGGACCAGTTAAAGGAAAAACAAAGCAATGAGCAGAAGTTCTGCGCAGAGACATCAAAGGAAAAGCAGGATACTGTGGCATCACAAAAGCCAAGAATATGTTTCAAGAGATGGGACCGCTCAATTGTCACTCACTGATGGTACCTGTGCGGAGTGAAATAGCCCAAATGCCAATTCAACCACAGGCAACATAGGGGTGACACAGGGACCTTCAGGTGGCAATGGGAGTGTTACCAAAAAGCCACCTTTCTACAACAGCCTAGGCTACAACACAAAAATCAACTATCTTAAGCGCGTATGCCCTTCTTACAGTGCAAGTAAATTTAGGCCGTTTCTTCCAAAGAAATAAGACTAATCCTCTAAACAGTAATGGTGTATTCTTAAACATTAACTTCTCCCAAAGTTTTTAAAAATAATACAGAAGCAGTATATAATGGAACACTGAGGTGATTAATTCTCAAACTGTTTATTACCCTTGTAAAAAGTCAAATCCTTCCAAAACTCTTAAGTTTCATCATTAAATCTACATAATAATTTTAGAGTTTCCCTTTCTTCTCTGATGATAAAGCTTCCAAAGTACAGCCCATTCGCTGTTTTAAGTATATTACTAAGAAGAATCACTTTCAACCACACGACGCTTGGACCAGCATTTTAAAGCAACACTGCCACCAGAAGACTAGCAAGCAAAGTTACTGCTAAAAATCACAGTACAGGCTGACTGCAGAAAATTTACCTGGTCTCCCAACATGGCTACATTACAACCTGCCTACTAACGGCTCTTCTGAAACACTCATTCCTTCTTGTACCTCATCTTTTTATTTTTTTTTGCCAGTATCAGCTAACCTGCCACAGCACGGTTTCAAATCCGAGTCAGTCCTCAACTGCGGCAAAACAAAATGACACAGAGCGTTCAATTGCTTTCCGTCGACTATACACGAAAAGCAAATAAATAATGCCATGAAGTCATAATCTTTTCACTAGATTTAACGGTAAACTTAATCAGGCACCTTATTACGCTCTAAAGATGCTTTAGACACGAAAAGCACAACCTTTCAGAAACAGAAAAATAAATTATATAAGAAAAAAGAAACCAGGCGATTAAGTAGGATAAAAATGGTAATTCAAAAGGGTTAACCTGACATCTCTTTTGAACTTAAAATCTGAATCTTCCTGTCCTACGTCTCGCCCTGGGTAGCGTTACACAGGTACGCACGAATGTATAATAAAGGGTCTGCTACACTTTTACGTACGTCACTGATCACTGATTTTTTAAAAATAGATGTTGAAACATAATGCCCTAGTGCCAAGGAACTCCGCACGGTGTCACGGAATCGCTGAATTTGCCACTGCTCACAATCGTGGAAAAAGTTGGTGTCGGTGGGAAGGTGGGCTCCCGCTCGCTTTCGGAGAGGCAGGCTCGCCGGTGGGGACAAGTCGGGGGACCCAGGGTCCGCGGGGCGGTTCAGAGGTGCCCGGGGGCCCACCCGGCCGCCCCAGCACGTCCGGGATTAAAGGGCCGGCGGGAGAGGGCGTGCCCCGCCAGGCCGCGCAGCCGCGGCTTACCCGGTAGTTGCTCGAGCCCACCCAGCCGGTGAGAGCGTCGACCGTCTTGCTCAGACGGGCCAGGTCCTCCTCCAGATCCGGGATGGCGCCGGGCGCGCCGAGGTAGAGCAGCAGCTCCTGGCCGACCTGCAGGCGGCCGCCGACGTCCTTCTGCTGCACCTGGGCGCTGAAGTACTCCATGCTGCGGGGCTCCATGGCCGCGGCCACCCGCCCGCCCGCCCGCCCGCTCGTGGGGGGCCAACTTTCGCCGAGCGCCGCCCAGCCGCCAGAGCGGGGCCCCGCGGGAACGGGCGGGACGCGCTCGGTCCGGCCGGGGCGCGGCTCGCGGGGCGCGGCGGGCGGCGGGAGCAGCGCCAGGCGTCCAGCGGCCCCCCAAACTAGTCAAACTCGGCGCCCCCCGCGCCCCAACCCGCTTCAGAGGCCGCGGCCGCCGGCGACGTCAGCGCGCGCGTGACGTCAGCGCGACGCCGGCGAGCGAGTGCCCGCCTGCCTGCCCGCTGGTCCGCACACCAGGTTCGCGGAGGCGGCGGCCGCGGCGGGAGCTGCTCGGGGTCGTGGAGCGTCTGGGGAAGTTGCGGTCGGTCTGGGTTGGCACCCCCAGGAAGCCGACGATTCTCTGCTGTCCGCCACCTCAGCACTCAGTCATCGCCTTGTAAAGTCTTAGACCCTTTCAAGTTTTCCTCCACTTGAAATCAATACTTGGGAAAGTTTCTTTGACTTGGAATTCCCCCTTCCCTAACCCCACTCCCAGATTTGGTTGTTTTGTTTTTTTTTTTTTTTAAGGCTTTGGGCGTTTGGGTTTGTTGTTGTTGTTGATGTTATTTTTTTGTTGTTGCTTTGTTTGGGTTTGGGGGTTTTTGGTTTTTTGTAGAATACACTTTCTTATGTTTTAAAAAAAAAAATAATGACCGCTGCTTCCAGCCATCGCCACTCGTTGGGCTGCCATTTGATTATGCTTAAAAAAAAAAAAAAAAAAAAGGTTTAATTTACACAGACTAAAATGCACAGATTTTAAGTGGTCCATGCGTTTTGGCAAAGGTATGCACCAGTGTGAATAACCACCACCCTAGGAACGATAGAGCCTATTTCCATCGCTCCAAGAAGTTCCAGGAACTTCCAAGTCAATAAAATAACCACTGCGTTGCCAGGAAATACTAATCAGATTTCTATCATGGTAGCATAGGTTTCTGTATTACTTAATTTCACGTGACTTCATACAGTCTGCTTTTACTGAGTTGGACTTTTTCCTTTAATATGTTTTGAGGTTGATCCAGTGCTGCTGGCGTGTCAGTAAGTCCCTTCTTATTGCTGAGCAGCTGTCCTTATATGGAAGCACCATAGTTTGTCACCCAGTCACCTGTTTATAGACATTTGCACTGTTTCATTTTTCAGTTTTCCGGCTGTAACCAGCTATAACCGAGAGTGTAGAAGTCATTGTGCAGAGACAAGGTTTCATTTCTCTTCCGTAAATACCAAGTACTGGAATTACTAGGTCTGTGTGAAAAGTGCATGTTTAACTTTAGAGGAAACTGCTGAACTGTTTTCCAAAATGTCTATATCATGTTAATCTCCCATCAGCAGTGCTTAGAAGTACCAGTTGCTCCACATCCTCCACAATATTTAGTATGGTTGGGGTGATTAGTTTTATCCATGATGATGTTATTCAGTCGTTCAGTTGTATCCAACTATTTTCAACCACATAGACTACAGCATGCCAGGTTTCCCTGTCCTTCACTATCTCCCAGAGTTTGCTCAAACGCATATCCATTGAATTGGTGATGCAATCCAAGCATTTCATCCTCTATTGCCCCCCTTTCTCCTCCTGCCCTGAATCTTTCCCAGGATCAGGGTCTTTTCAAATAAGTCAGCTCTTTGAATCAGGTGGCCAACATATGGAAGTCATGTTAGTGGGTGTAAACTGGTCTAGAGTACATTCTAAATGTACATGGTATTTAGCTTCCTGCTAATTATTTCCAGCCACAATTTAATAATTTTAAATATCTGTCTCTTCTATTACACAGAAACTCCAGGATCATCTGTGTTTTCCCTAGGATGGTGCTGGACCAATAATGGGTACTCAGTCAATTTAAGCTGAATAAGTGAATGAATTTAATGAAATGCTTAAAATGTTCACATTAACAAAATAAGAACAAAAACAATAATAATACACTCTCCAAATCCAAAGAAACCTTTTCTGTGTTTACTCTGAGGTTTTTTTCCCTATATTACTCTGTTTCTCTTTGTATCGTGATGTAAAGTTTCTTCCATTGTTAATTAGCTGTAATTTCCCTGCTGCTAAGTCACTTCAGTCATGTCCGACTCTGTGCAACCCCATAGATGGCAGCCCACCAGGCTCCCCTGTCCCTGGGATTCTCCAGGCAAGAACACTGGAGTGGGTTGCCATTTCCTTCTCCATTGCATGAAAGTGAAAAGTGAAAGTGAAGTTGCTCAGTCGTGTCCGACTCTTAGCAACCCCATGGACTGCAGCCTACCAGGCTCCTCAGTCCATAGGATTTTCCAGGCAAGAGTACTGGAGTGGGGTGCCATTGCCTTCTCCGGTAATTTCCCTGCAGTTGGGCCTAAATCAACTACTGTAGTAACTGTTCCTTGCTGTCTAAAGGTTCCTTTCCTAAGGGTCGTTGTTGTGTTGTTCAGTCGCTAATTCGTGTCCGACTCTTCGTGACCGCATGAACTGCACCATGCCAGGCTTCCCTATCCTTCACTGTCTCCCAGAGTTTGCTCAAATTCATGTCCATTCAGTGATGTTATGTAACCATCTCACCCTCTGCCGCCCCATTCTCCTCCTGCCCTCAACCTTTCCCAGTATCAGGGGTCTTTTCAACTCTTCACCTGATGTGAAGAGTCAGGTGGCCCAAGCATTATGTCTTCAGCTGTAGCATCAGGCCTTCCAATGAGTATTCAGGGTTGATTTCTTTTGAGATTGCCTTGTTTGATCTCCTTGCAGTTTGAAGTACTTTCAAGAGTCTTCTCTAGTACCACAGTTCAAAAGCATTAATTCTTTGGCACTCAGCCTTCTTTATGGTTCATTTCTCACATCCATACATGACTACTGGAAAAACCATAGCTTTGACCATACCGACCTCTGTCAGCAAAGTGATGTCTCTGCTTTCTAATATACTGTCTAGGTTTGTCATAGCTTTCCTTCCGAGGAGCAAGCATCTTTTAATTTCATGGATGCAATCATTGTCTGCAGGAAATTTTGGAGCCCGGGAAAATATAATCTGTCACTGCTTCCACTTTTTCCCCTTCTATTTGCCAAGAAGTGATGAGATCAGATGTCATGACCTTAGTTTTTGGAATGTTGAATTTTAAGCCAGTTTTTTCATTCTTGTCTTTCATCCTCATCAAGAGGCTCTTTAGTTCCTCTTCACCTTCTGCCATTAGAGTGGTATCATCTGCACATCTGAGGGGTTGATATTTCTCCAAGCAGTCTTGATTCCAGCTTGTGACTCAGCCAGCCCAGCATTTCACGTGATGTACTCTGTATATAAGTTAAATAAACAAGGTGACAATATGTATAGCCTTAACATACTCCTTTCCCAATTTTGAACCAGTCAGTTCCATGTAAGGTTCTAACTGTTGCTTCTTGACCCACATACAGGTTTCTCAGAAGACAGGTAAGGTGGTCTGGGATTCCCATATCTTTAAGAATTTTCCACATTTGTTGTGATCTACACAGTCAAAGGCTTTAGCATAGTCAATAAAACGGAAATCGGTGTTTTTCTGAAATTCCCTCACTTTCTTTCAGTTCATTTCAGTTCAGTTGCTGAGTCGTGTCTGACGTTTTCGATTGCAGCACACCAGGCCTCCCTGTCCATCACCAACTCCCAGAGCCTACTCGAACTCATGTTCATTGAGTTACTGATGCCATCCAACTATCTCATCCTTTGTTGTCCCCTTCTTCTCCTGCCTTCAATCTTTCCCAGCATCAGGGTCTTTTCCAATGAGTTAGTTCTTTGCATCAGGTGACCAAAGTATTGGAGCTTCAGCTTCGGCATTAGTCCTTCCAGTGAATATTCAGGACTGATTTCCTTTAAGACGGACTGATTTGATCTCCTTGCAGTCCAAGTGACTCTCAAGAGTCTTCTCCGGCACCACAGTTCAAAAGCAGTAATTCTTCGGCACTCAGCTTTCTTTACGGTCCAACTCTCACATCCATCCATGACTACTGGAAAAACCATAGCTTTGACTAGACGGACCTTTGTCAGTAAAGTAATGTCTATGCTTTTAATATTCTGTCTAGGTTTGTCATAGCTTTTCTTCCAAAGAGCAAATGTCTAACTTCATGGCTGCACCCATCTGCAGTGGTTTTGGAGACCCCCAAAATAAAATCTCTCACTGTTTTCACTGTTTTGCCATCTGTTTGCCATGAAGTGATGGGACCAATGTCATAATATTAGATTTTAGAATGTTGAGTTTAAGCCAACTTTTCACTCTCCTCTTTAACTTTCATCGAGGCTCTTTACTGCTTCTTCACTTTCTGCCATAAGGGTGGTATCATTTGCATATCTGAGGTTATTGATATTGATCCCAGCAATCTTGATTCCAGCTTATGCTTCATCCAGCTTGGCATTTGTACACATGATGTACTCTGCATGGAAGTTAAATAAGCAGGGTGACAACATACAGCCTTGACGTACTCCTTTCTTAATTTGGAACCAGTCTGTTGTTCCATGTCCAGTTCTAACTGTTGCTTCTTGACCTGCATACAGATTTCGCAGGAGACAGGTCAGGTGGTCTGGTATTCCAGTCTCTTAAAGAATTTTTCACAGTTTGTTGTGATTCACACAAAGGCTTTGGCATAGTCAATAAAGCAGAAATAGATGTTTTTCTGGAACTCTCTTGCTTTTTCAATGATCCAGCAGATGTTGGGAATTTGATCTCTGGTTCCTCTGCCTTTCCTAAAACCAGCTTGACCATCTGGAAGTTCACAGTTCATGTATTGCTGAAGCCTGGCTTGGAGAATTTTGAGCATTACTTTACTAGTGTGTGAGATGGGTGCAATTGTGTGGGAGTTTGAACATTCTTTGGCATTGCCTTTCTTTGGGATTGGAATGAAAACTGACCTTTTCCAGTTCTGTGGCCGCTGCTGAGTTTTCCAAATTTGCTGACATATTGAGTGTAGCACTTTCATAGCATCATCTTTTAGGATTTGAAATAGCTCAACTGGAATT